TATACGCGACGGCCCCAGGGCCCGAAGGTCCAGGAGAGCCCAGAATGGAATCGAAAAGCCAGATCGACGATCGAAAACAAATCGGATAGGTGAAATTGGCAACCGAGTCGGGAGAAGTCCGATCGGCGGAAATCGGGAGGCTAGTAGGCCTCGGTTGAGAAATCGAAGTCCAAATCGAAATCAGAAGTCTAACGAATCGGAATTCGAGACCATCGAAATCGAATCGAATCGGTGGAATCGAAATGAGCCCTGAAGGTCGGGTGGCATTGCCCGTTGTGAGAAAATTGTGACGCCAGGCTCTCAAGGCATGGGCGCACGCTTAGGGGTTTTTTGGCGTCCCCGCGAGCGCCAAGCTGCACGCGCTCCTCTCGGGCGCGACCTGACCGAACCCCTGCCGTGCCGAGCCCCCTTTCGTGACGAGCCCCTCGCCCTCGGGGGTTCCCCTGCGGCCGTCCGCCCGCGGCTCGGAGCGAGGGGCGGCGGGGGGGGTCGTCAGAAGGAGTCCCAGACATCCGACGGTGTGCTGCTCTCTGGATGCGCTGCCCAGAAATCTTCACCCCCTCCCCAGGGACAGTTTTTACTACGTCTGAATGGTCCTGGGGCCCGACGATCACGGGCCACAGGGGCCGAAATCGAGAAAGGCGCGGGGATCGAAACTACGTCACCGAACGACCCCACAAGTTCGTATCATATGTTTTGCGAGTTGAGATATTACGAACACGCCGCGCCCCAAAACACGCGAGGAAATGCCCTCCGGCTCCTGCTAGGTTCCTGGGAAGATCCTGCGAGAATGGGACGGATACGGAGACCATTCCCTGCGCACCCACTGTGCTGTCGAGGAAGTGCCGCGCCTGTTACGACCTGCGAGCGTTGGACGGATACCGCAACCACCCCCAGCACCCTACCACTGGCGTTGAGAAGTGCCACGACTGCGCGGTTGCGCCATCGGGCAAACGCGAAATGCCGCCGATTGAATTCGAGCGCCCCGAAGGGCCCTTCGAAGGCGCTGCGAGAACAGACGCCGCCGGGGGCCACCGCGACGAGGTCTGGCACTGCCAGGCTGCATCGCGATGACGTCATCATGGCCAGTACTGGCCCCATCCGAAAGCCTGGAATATGTTTGAATATATTTGGACAAGTTGTAACAATAAAGATCCCCATTGGTTCTTCAAACATTCTCAACTATATTCAAAAATATTCAAAGATACACAAAAATAACCCTGACCAGGCATTAAGAAACCCCCCTGGGTTATTCTTAACACCCGGTTTTTTCAATACTCCAGGCGGGCAGTTTTCGTAGAACGATAAACTTAGCACCCGCCGCAAACAGAAAACAAAATCCATCGGTGGCCGCCCCAATGAGGCCAAGAGGGGGTGTCGCAACGAATGTCAAGGATCTAGCCCACATCTCTGTGGACCTCTATCCCTGGTAGGTCCTGCTAAGCCCTGCTAAGCCCTGCTAAGCCCTGCTAAGCCCTGCTAAGCCCTGCGGGCCGATGGGCCTTGCGAAGCCCTGCCAAGCCCTGCCAAGCCCTGCTACGCCCTGTACAAGGCCCTGCTAAGCCCTGCTAGGTCAGCCCTGCTAGGCAGGCCCTGCTCAGCACTGGTCAGCGCTGCTACGCCCTGCTATGGCCTGCTAGGCGTGGTCCGAGCTTGGTCCGAGGCAAAGCCCTGCGAAGTCCGGTTAAGCCCTGCGAAGCCCTGCTAAACCCTGGTCCAAGCGAGGTCCGAGGCTAAGCCCTGCTAGGCCCTGCTAAGCCCTGCCAGGTCCTGCTATGCCTTGCTAACGCTTGCTAAGCCCTGCTAAGCCGTGCAAAGCCCTGCCAAGCCCTGCTCAGCCCTGCGTGGCCTTGCTAGGCCCTGCTAAGCTCTGCGAGGCCCTGCTAAACCCTGCTGAGCCCTGCCAAGCCCTGCCAGGCGTGGGCCGGAGCGCGGTCCGAGGTTTAGCCTTGCTAAGCCCTGCTAAGCCTTGCTAAGCCATGCTCAGACCTGAGTCTGAGCACGAGTATCACAATACGAATGATAAACCAAGCAAGAGCGATCATAATAATAATGCTCATACTAATGAATAGTACCACAATGCCAAGAAGGATCACGATTTTTGACTGTGAGTGAGTCTGAGCACAATGAGTCTGAATGTGAGTGAGTCTGAGCAGAAGGATTCAGTCACAACCCAGGCACTGTTCCAGTCTCTGACCCACAACCCAGGCACTGTTCCAGTGTCTGACACACAACCCAGGCACTTCTCAAGCCCCTGACCCACAACTCAGGCACAACTATGCTTTTCCAATGTTTTCTTCGTGTTTCCTTGCTCCTCCTCCTCCTCCTCCTCCTCTTCCTCCTCCTCCTCCTCCTTCTCCTCCTCCTCCTCTCCTCCTCCTCCTCCTCCTCCTCCTCCTCCTCTCCTCCTCCTCCTCCTCCTCCTCCTCTCCTCCTCCTCCTCTCCTCCTCCTCCTCCTCCTCCTCCTCCTCCTCCTCCTCCTCCTCCTCCTCCTCCTCCTCCTCCTCCTCCTCCTCCTCCTTTCCCATGCGATTCCTTTTACATCTTCCTTACAGAAATAATAGTTCGTCGGCCTTCCAGGGGGGGGGGGCACCCCAGGGTACCCCCCCCGCCCCGCACCCCCGCGTTATCTGAGCACCCGCGGACCCAGAAATACGAGAGAGCCCGAGGAGCGGGCACGCACGGATTCTGAGTGAGTGAGCCTGAGCAGTCTGAGTCTGCTAAGCCTTGCTAGGCACTGCTAGGCCACGCTCTGCTTGAACTACTACTACTACTACTACTACTACTACTACTACTACTACTACTACTACTACTACTACTACTACTACTACTACTACTACTACTACTACTACTACTACTACTACTACTACTACTACTACTACTACTACTACTACTACTACGACGACGACGACGACGACGACGACGACGACGACGACGACGACGACGAGTACGACAACGACTACTACGACTACTACTACGACTACTACTACTACTACTACTACTACTACTACTACTACTACTACTACTACTACTACTACTACTACTACTACTACTACTACTACTACTACTACGACCACTAAGCCTTGCTAAGCCCTGCTAAGCCTTACTAAGCCTTGCTAAGCCCTGCTAAGCATTGCAAAGCCCTGCTAAGCCCGGCTAAGTCCTGCTGAGTCCTGCTAGGCTCTGCTAAGCCCTGCTAAGCCCTACCAAGCCCTGCTAGGCCCTGCTAAGCCTTGCTAAGCCCTGCTAAGCTTTGCTAAGCCCTGCTCAGCCCTGCGGAGCCTTGGTCGGTCCTGCTAGGCCCTGCTAAGCCCTGCTGAGCTTTGCTGAGCCCTGCTGAGCCCTGCGGAGCCCTGCTAAGGCCTAGCACTGCTCGGCTCTGCGAAGCCCTAGCTAGGCCCCGAGTCCCCGCAGCCAGGTACTCCGGTGCAGCCATGACGCTCCAGGGCGCGGGGCGTTATAATCCACCGGAAAAGGGGGGGTCTTACTGTCTTCTTGAGGCTATCCAAAGGTTTTCAAGCCAGACGTTTCGGGATTTGGGCTGGGATTCGGGACTGGTCCTGGGCCGGCCCCGACTGATCGACAGGCTCCCCCTCGGGTAACTAGTGCATGCTACAGGGTGCAACGCGCGCGCGCTGCTGTCGATTGCACGGGGCAGGCCCAAACATAGCGCGCCCAGATGCGAGCGCAATCGTGCGATGCGGGCGCCGACGCGAAGTGAAGCTTACTCCACGGGAAAAATTGCCCGACCCTCCTCGGGCCAGCACCAGAGGTCACCCTGGCGAAGGGCCACTCTCACGCGTAGTCGAATTGCGCGTTGAGCCAAAGCGCGCGCCCCCCCCTGCCGGCGCAGGACGCCCGCGCACGCAGCGAGAAATGGCCCCGACATGAGCGCGCCCGAGCGCCGCAATCGCCTTTCAGACGACCCCACCACGAAGTCCGATTCGCATGTAAACGGACCCGCTAGCTACATCATTCTGCCCTGGGCGTCGAAACCTGAGAAACGATAGAGGTCCTCGTTAGCACCTGTCTAGGCTCTCGGGCCCAGGGGCGAGCGCGCCGGCAACGGCAAACCACGTCGCAGCGAGAACCTCGCTGCCTTCTCGCGGGGCGCTCAGTGGCTAGAATGACCGCGGGGGGGCCGATGATTGGGGGCAGCGGCTCGGGTAGCTCACCCCCATGCTGAGGGGAAAGGCGCGTTGTCGGCGGGGCGAGGCGCGCGTTGCACGGAGCCGCGGCAGCGCGCGCGCATGCCGCCCATGCGTCTCACGACTGCGCCAACCAGGATAAAAGAAAGCCGGCAGTATTGCCATCGCGTAAACCCAAGTCAGAACGTCCACGGATCCACCAAAGGATGCGAAATGAGTCCGCGCACGCGCTCGCGCGCGAGCATAGAGACACACCTGGGTGGGACTTGCGCAAGGCAATCGGGTAGGCACGCGACGCGACGCAACGCGCACTGCGCACAACCAGCCGTGCACACACGCAACACTTCCATATTGCCTGAGCAGTAACTGGCACGCGGGTGCCGCTCAAGATCTCGACGGCGAATGACATCCAAGCCGCGGCCCAGATTGCCCCCTCGAGCCCCGCTCCGAGCGGAGCTCGCGGGTCGGACGACTCCAAGCCCAACCAGGATCTCGCCCGGCGTCGGCGAGAATTCGGAGACGATCGGCGTCTGCATCTGGGGAGAGGGCGCCGCGACCGACGGCGCAGCGATCGCCGATGGGCGCCGGAGCTGCACCAACGAATGCACGCCCGCAGAGAGCTGCGCGGGCCAGCGCGGCCCGGCAAGTTCCCCCTTGAAGAAGCGGAATGGGGGAATGGTGCGAGTGACACACGCGGGCCTCTGACGACAGATCCCAAATTCGTCGCGGCGTTGCCGGGCTCGCCCGAAGAAGCGGCATGGTTTTGCACTGGAAGTTGGAGGGGCACGAAAAGCGGAAATCCCGGTCTCTGGACGGCGGCCTGCGAATTCAAGATAGGAGAGTCACCCGACTCACTTCCCTTCGGCAAAATGCCGAGGGCAACCAACTGCGAATGCGCGCCAAAGACCAATGAGCCCCGCGCGCACAGCGGCGCACGCAAGTGGTTGAGCTAGAAAAAAACGAGCGCCGGCTGGAACAGCGACCGGGGGGTCAGGCGCCTTCAGCAGCTCCGCGACGCCGTTCTCGCCGATGGCGCCCGTGGCCTTCTCGACTGCGTCACGGACGTCTTGCCTCGCGACCAGCAGCTGCTGCTGCTCCCCGCCCAGGACGCCACCTCCGTCGACCCCGCGCCGGATGTCAGCCCCAGCCTGGCTACGGAGAGGTCGGCGCCGTAAGGACTTGGATGCGTTTGCTGGTCGGCCGCGCGATACTTCCATGCGCCCGCGGTCAGCATGTCTCAATCCAGCGACAGGGTCGGATGCCTGGCTTCGCCGTTCTTCGGAGGGGTCACGGTGGCTGCTTTCTCGGCTGCCTCCTATGCGACCTGCTTGAACTGCTCGGCGGTTTGCCTCTTCGCTCTGCGCGCATGTTACCTATCTCCCGCCGGAGCGCGGCGACCGCATCCTGGAATGTCTTCACGTTCGCGAGCAACTGGGTGCTTTACTGCTGGAGGGCGGCGAAGACCGCAGGTGTAATGCCAGGGGCTGGTGCCATTAACGAGGCCTCGTCAAGGGGTCGAACTTGCAGAGGAGGCGCACGTGGCTGCCGCTGATGCGATGGCTGCCCCGGAGCCGCACTTGCACGAGCCCTTGCCTGCTGTGCGGCTGCCTCTCCCTTGGCGAAAACGGGCTGCGGCACTGCTGGCGATGGCGACCGGACACCGGGCGCCCCCTTGTGAGCGAGCGGGTGGGGTGCCCGAGGTACTCGCTGACCCCGACGAACCGGCTGCTGGGGCCGCGCCGGCTCGTACTCCGACGCGTGCTCGTCTTCGCCCTCGCCCCCTTCTACTTGCACTCGTCTGGCTGAGATGGGCTGGCCCAAAGACGCTGCGTCATCCTCCATTTCCTGGATTGTCGAGCAGCTGCTCAGCTTGCGCAAACTCGTCTTGAAAAGGACCTCACAGTGAACTTCTGTTGCTTCAAGTAACTCTTCGGGCTCATTGCACTTGACGTGCGCGTCCATGAAACATGTGCGGCAAGTGCTCACGAAGAGTTTCTGTTTTGACACCGTGGCTTGCGGCGAACGAACCTGCATTATTATATACAGTACGGCGCTGCGTCCCTCACGCAAGTTAGCGATCGGCTCTAGATCAAGATCCATGTCAATGGCACAATGTATATGCCTTTCCAAGGACACCATGGTGGCAGTAAGAGTGCGTCGAAAGTCGCCATGGAACTTCGGATCTGTAAAAGGTTCCTTCCAACTCCTGCGGCTGGTCGCGAACTCGGGAATCGCTGGCATGATGGGCACAGGGCTGTCCGTCAGGTCCAGGTCCTTGTCCTTCCCCTTGGCCTTGTTCGGCTGGGTGTAATTCGCGCGTTTGGGGTTTCTTGGTATGAAAGGCGAACGGGTAGACTGTGACCAGCATTGCCAAGGGTTGTGCTCATTATTACTGGGCTGACATTTCAGACAGGTAGTCGAAGACCAAGAGTTTTGACGTGAGCAAGTAACGCATTCCCAGAGATTCCTGTGGGCCGCGACCTTCCATGGCGGCTGTGCATCTCCATTGCGTGGTGCTCGATCCCTGGGACCACGCGGCCTATATCTCTGAGCCATCCCACTGGTGTGATGGCGCTCGAGTAGTTCAGGTGCGGCAGAAACTTGAACAAGAGCCCGTGCTCGACTGCGATATGTTCTGTCGTCGGTGCCACAAGGTCCTCTCTGTGGCGCCTCGCCGGGATCGACTTCTGGGCACAGCTTGCCCTGGCACGCTAGGCAGGCTGGCGCGTGTGGCAGCAGTCCCGAGGAGGCTCGCGGCTGCCTGGCAGCCGCTCCCAACACCTCGAACCGGGACGGCGACTAAGGCGGGAAGGACGGAAGAGGGAGGGGGGAGGTGGAAGCATCGCATCAAGAGCAAGAACCTCATCTTAGAACACGGTGAAAAATCATACCGTCGGAGATCTGGGGCCGGCTTGCTGGGCAAGTGGCGACATCCGAGCCCTGCCCCCACCGCCCATCGAACTGCCTGAGCCTGGGGGAACCGAAAGGTACTGATACCGCTACTCCCATACCGCTATTGGTCGCTAGTCGGCGCTACTTGAGCGCTATCGTGGGCTACTCAGCGCTACTCGGTGCTTGGCGCTTGGGAGCTCTACTCAACGCTATCGGGCGTCACTCGCCGATAACATTCAATTCAAGACGAGCCGAAACTTCCGTGACTTACAATCTCAACCCTCGCCCCCACCCCCGAACTGGGGAAACCAACTGTACTGATACCGCTACTCCCTGGAAATGGCCCCGGGTGCGTTCTGACCACGATTTCGAGGCGAAACCGACGGTGGCGAGGAGGGCCTCCCGGGAGGCCCAAACATGGGAAGACGAGGGAAGGGTAGCGGCAGGGATAACCATCTGCTCCTCCTCTGATGACCGGCGAGGGTACACCCTGCGAAATGCTTAAGAAATCATGGGATAAGAAATTCATAGTCTCAGAACTTGAATAAAAACCCAACATGTCTATTAAAATCGTGGGATTTACATTGAAAACTTAAGAATAATCGAGACTCTGGACGAAAACTTAGGTTTTCTTAAGCATCGCCTAGGGTGTATGCCTCGGATTTCGCCGCCAACGGGGGGGTCGGCCAGCACGCCCCCGATCCTCACGCGCGCCAGCAGCCGGTGTCCGCCGTGCCCCGCCGGCCGCGCCACGACGGCGCCGCCCCGGCCGAGCATCGCGGGCCGGCGCGCGCGCGCGACAGGGCGGCCCCGCGGCACCCTGGGCGGCAGCGCGGCGGCCGCAGGGGGCCGGCCCGGCGCCGAGCGGAACGCCCTCGTTGGCGGAACGGCCACGGGTAGAACGAGGACGACGCCACAGACTGCCTACCAGACCACCCCCAACCGAACCCGAAGTCACCGTTCGGCTCGTCGACTTCTGGTGGGGAGGGGCACTCCAGAACACGGAGGAGCCACGACCGGACCCGTACCCTCCTTAATCTGGAACTTGGATTGGTCCAGGGCCTTCGGGTTGGGTGGTGGAGGCTTGGTAAGTAGCGAGTCATGATGCGATTGGCTCAGGACGCGTTCCAGGCTCAGCTGCCCCGATACGCGACGCGCAACCCGTGGCGTCTTGACACGGAGCTCAGCACGCAGATTGAAAGCGTAGCTCTGGCGCGATACGTTCGCCAGAGCGTGGGCCAACACGTGCGTGAGACATCTTGAACACGGCACGTGTTGCGTTTCAGCACGTGCGTACCAGGGTAGGTACTGTTCTAGGAACTCCGGAGTATCCTGCGGCCCTTGTAAATGAAACAGGCGCGGTGCAGTGGGAAAGTTCGAAACTCTTGCAGATCTCGGAACGCGTCATCATTTCCTACTGCTCCTCGGGACGGCGAGGATGCGATCCCAGGACCCCTCGCGTCGCGACAACATCGCGTCTGCTCGACGTGTTTTGACTACCTACCAGACCACCCCAACCCAACCCGAAGACCCGAATTTCGGGTTGGGGGGGGTAAGGGTTCCACGTGTTTTTTCGATGTTTCCCGACCCCCCCCCCACTGGAAATCGAGTGTAAATCTGAGCCTTCGGGTTGGGTTGGGGTGGTTTGGTGGGTGGTGATGTTTGGGCGCTCTCGCCTCGGGATGGTCTCCAGCTGGTGCACCTCGCCGAAAGCGCTCCGGGGGTGCCCCAATAACGTCTCGACCGGCCGACGGAGACCCCGAGTCATGACCCGAAAACCAAGCCGCTCGCGCTGTGAAAACACGACGGACGGTTTCTAACAGGTCTCGGCCTCTGGAGGCCCTCGGGCCTGCAGACCGTAGGAATGCAGCTCGGGGTGGAGAGCTGGCCCCTGGGGAAAGGGTCGGGACTCCTGGGGAACCCGCACCGACATTGTCGAGACATCAGACGCCTGGGACTGACAAGGATCAGCGAGGACACGATTGCCTCAAGGGGCTGCGGAGAAGGAAGCGGGAGCCAGTTTGACTCGAGCGGAGGGAACGACTGCCAAGAACCCAGTGCAGTTGTCCTTCCTTCCTCCCTTCTTTCCTTCCCTCCTTCCTCCCCTCTTTCCTTCCCTCCTCCTCCTCCTCGTCCCCCTCCTGCTTTTGCCTTTCACAACCATCCTGCGTTGTTGTGTCTTCCATGTGTCTCTGCAGCGCCACGCGTCTCCTCCTGCCCCCCACCTCCTCCCGCTCGCTGGGCCGACCCGGCACGCTGGGGGAGAGCACTGTCACCCTGAGTGGCCAGAAGGCTGAGTGCTCCAGCGGAAATTGCTGAAGGCATCAGATGCGCCAGCATGGCAGGACCTTCTCAAACCGGGCGGTATGGGCCCGGAGTCGGGCCCTGGGACCATCGCGGACCCAGACCTCATGAGGTCCATCGATACAGAAATTGTTCGCTGCTTTCGGCCACCCGGGGGTCCTCGCTGGGCCCCAGGAAGTTTCTTCTTCAGGCTACCCGGCTGAAAAGCCAGCCCTGCAGGAAAGAAAGGGTCAAGAATTCCTGGGGCCCCGTACCGAACAAACGAATGCATCGGAACTCTGCAGATCGATACGGCTCGAGAAACGCCGCAGGAACATAACGCTCACGGCTCCGGTCGTGATTTACAACTATGTTGCACTGGGACATACAAGGACATACTAGTACGATGTGTCCTCCTCGGAGGCACGCGTCCGACCCTAACATATAGTACAACCATCTTGTAGTATATCGCTTTCCGAGCGGTTCGGCCATAAAGTGCCCGCCACGAAACGTACTCTGCAAGATTTCTAGGCGTGCGCGCTTGAAAAAGGTCTTGGGGGGCCGACGCACACATGACAGTAGCATGGTTGGGCGGTGCCGATGCAGTTCTGCCGTGACGTCAGATCTCGGCCTCTTTCCGCAGGAGTTGGCGGGCCAGCAACGGACCGGCTGGAGGCTCCCCCCGCGAAGGCCCTTCCACCCCACCCAAAGAGGCTCTGCGAGCAAAGCTCTTCCGGTCGGCCTCGTCTCGGCCTTTGCCAGCGTCTGACACCTACCTTTCGCCATGGCGGAAAGGTTCAGAGACAACGCGCGATCGCCTCCCTCTTACCTTCACCCACCCCCCACCCTCACCCGCTGAGGCTGGTGACTGGGGGGGGTCAAAGACTCTGTGTCCCCCACTTGGGGGCCCGAGCCAAGGTGTAAAGTCCAGCATCGTGCCTGGAACATCACGATCAGCACCAGAAGCAGGGCATCGCACGGAATCCAGAGAGGCAAACGTACGCCTGGGCGCCGCGGATGAGGTCGACTCGCGGTCCCAAAC